TCNACTGTTTGAGCAAATTCAAAGGCAGTACTTGATCAAAGTGCGTCTTAGTTGGCCATGTGGCATCTATCTTTTACGGTAGATCTCTAACCGTATCATCCTTGTTGATTTTTGCGGCATCAGGTGCACGATTTCACAGTAAACGGGAATACCGCACCGCTAAGGGAAACGAACTGACTCGAATCGTATGAAGCTGGTATAGAATGCATTATTTCTATTTAGATGTTACCTGAGATTTCAGACCTTTTTCCGCATTTTCTCACAATGAAAAGTTTACAGCTCAATGACTCAGTATTTTCAGACCTGGCATTATTGCTTGTCACTGAATCAAGCACATTTTATTAAGACATTGAAACACGGCACTACTGGTCTACTATTATATTGCGTCCCGCTCAAAACCACTTCAGTATAGTAGTTTGAACTGGGGTTTTTTCGATATCCGACGTCTGGATTAAACGATCGTGGACACCGGTAGTCTAAGTAAATCACACTTACCATAGAATCCGTTGAGTAAAGTTGGCTGTATAAAGATTCTAGTGTTCCGCGATATGGGAAACATAGTTAAAACTATGAAGTGTCTGTTTCAGATGGGCAATCAAACATCTGTTTTCCAGGTCCTGGTTTATCTGCATCTACGTGAAAACAGTATGTTGCAATCAGTGTAATTAGCCGGTGGATCCGTGTAGCTGAATCAATCTCCCTTGTGAGTGTTTTGTAACGCTCATCAGGTGACCAGCGATTTCGTCCTTTTCTGAGCCACTCAGATAGGTGAAGTCCAGAAATATAACCAGACACTTAGTCTTACTAGAATTTTGTCAAATAGCCGTTCGTGACCTGTTTGCGTGTGCACACTACCGTTTCGTTCAGTGTTTGACCACATATTTCACACCTCCGTCATAACATCATTATGTTATGTTTGATTTCAAGGTTTGTCTTAAAAGTTAGTGTGGCGGGCGTATGTGATCAACCAAAGTGAATGTTCCGAAATTTTTTTCGGGGTCTTAGACCACTTGATTGATGCTTTGCGGCAAACTTCAAAGACATCAAAATTTATGACGGTATACTAATAGTTCGTACACTGATATCGTTGGTCATTCGGGTTGGCAGTGTCTAGTCAGTTCAGAACATGGTAAAACTCTCACACAAAATATGCTGGACGGTAGATAGTGTTATTGTGAACTGAAGCACTGAAGGCAGTTGAGATAGTTATACCGAACCTTATCAAATCGCATGTCCCTCAGAATAACTGCGTCTACTATGCTTGTCGACTAACGTAGTTTAAAAAACTGTCTGTTAACAATGCCAGCCGTTACAAAATCAATACCTTTGTCTACTCGACCCATATCTTTCGACTCAGAATTGGGCGTCATGATCCAGACTGTTAATAAAGATTATTTCGTCCTTTGGTGAGCATTCAGAATGCTATAAGTTCCGGACTCCGTCTATAATTATTTTTAGTTCCACTGGAAGTGTCAAAATTCAAGAGACCATTGAGAATGCATGCACAATGAGCCCTGTACCGTACTCTCTCAACGGAAAGAACATCTGACCACACCGTTCTGTTCACGTAACTTAATTTTATTTGGCTTTTTTATCTCCCTATTTTGCTTATTCTGGCTGGACGCGTAGACCAAACAACCCACCCTGGCTGAAAAAATTATAGGATTCATGTGACGGTACAGCTCGTGCATGGAATATTATTAGTGCCGTAAATGAGTAAATGTAGACTTGGTCTTGAAACAATGGCACACAAACTGTCTTTTTAAGCCAACCCAAATTACACAACAAGAGTGGCCAAATATGGTTTGGGATATTTTCTCAGGATCTATCCTCCACCCTAGTTGACGGCCTGTCACCTGAAGAAAGTGGAACAGATTCGAACTCTCCATATGGAATGTGTTTTAATGATTGACAATCTTGACAGAATGCCTGAGGCAGTCGCTTGCATATAAAAAGACAAGCTTGACAGTGGGCTTGATAGAACAACCAGTAGTGCGTAGAGGTGGTGTGGGAACTCGAGGTTAAGCCGGGAAAAACTCCGATTTCAGGTTGTACTCCCTTTTCTAAACATATTTTCCATTCAATTATTCAACTATCAGTCGAACAGTCAATCAGTCCATCTATCCAACTATCAGTCAATCAATCAAACTATCTATCTATTTGTCTATCTATCTATCTACTATCTATCTATCTATCTATCTATCTATCTATCTATCTATCTATCTATCTATCTATCTATCTATCTATCTATCTATCTATTCTATCATCTATCTATCTATCTATCTATCTATCTATCTATCTATCTATCTATCTATCTATCTATCTATCTATCTATCTATCTATCTATCTATCTATCTATCTATCTATCTATCTATCTATCTATCTATCTATCTATCTATCTATCTATCTATCTATCTATCTATCTATCTATCTATCTATCTATCTATCTATCTATCTATCTATCTATCTATCTATCTATCTATCTATCTATCTATCTATCTATCTATCTATCTATCTATCTATCTATCTATCTATCTATCTATCTATCTATCCATCCATCTATCTATCTATCTATCTATCTGTCTGTCTGTCTATCTATCGACCTGTCTGTCCATCCGCATGTCCGTCTATCTTCCCCTCTGTCCATCTATTCGTTTGTTTGTCTGTCTATCCTTCTGCCTTGGTACCTTCACACGAAGTCGAGTGCTTCCTAGGTTTTTAATCTAATCACTGTGTGGGCTTCTCTGGGATAAATCACAAACCCCAGCTGTCGCTCTCTAAAAGGACCCCCCAGCAACCTTATTCCATCGGTTACATTTTTATCATGCTCTTTGAGTATTTGCCGAATGCAATGTTAACTGAGGTCCTTATCTCCTTTGGAGTGGTCAGCAAAAATGTTAGTGTATTTTCCTTCTGATTTGACAAGACTTTACGTAGAATACCCACTAATAATCCTCACACCGTGATGTTCCCTTTACTGTCCTCATCTCTGAAGTCTCGCAGGCTGGATTGAAAATAAACCTGCACACACATGGTGTTCGCAATTCAGAAGAGTACAAATGCAGGATTACCAAGTTAGAATTTACTAGGTGAACTTCTTCCATACAGAGTTTACTCCCCCCGAATTAATGTCATAGGGGTCTTGGAAAAAAGCAAATAACCAAGTACAACTGCAAAGCTTATCGCAGAGGTATAGTCCCTTGTCAAATATAGACTTACATAAGGAGCTATTTCGGACTGGTTTTCTTGGGTGATTTTCCCAGGAAATACAACTGCAGATATGTATACACATGTGTAAGTACACTAATATTTTATGTATATGTTTGCGCACGTCAAAGCAATCTTATTAATTACGTTACTTCCGTCCAATAATCATTTGTACTAGGCAACCAATTGCTCATTTCGGATGCAGGTAAACTCTCCACGAGAAACAAAGTGCTGCACCCACTGGCAATGAAACATCGCGTACGGTAGTGCATGACACTGATGCAACGTGCCTAGATGAAGACATCTTCAGGCATTCTGAGCACATTTAGTAAAAAAGGCTTTCGGAAGTATCACCACTTGACTGGGGCAAGATATGGCTGACAACTGATCTTAGCGTTGGTTATTCTGGTTGGTACAACCATCGTCAGTAGATACCACTGCTCGGGGAAGAAGGTGCTTCTGAATTAAGTTTGTTTTGGTTGCAACCAATCGCGACTACAAATCCAGGCTCTACATCCTAATGTAAGATATATAAAGGTGGTCACCACTGCGACGGCTACAACGAATGGCAAGCTTCCTTATGGTTTCTTTTTGTTGGGGAGTTACTTTTATTTCCTAGCGAAATGAGTAGCCCACCCTGAAAGACACCGTCCTTTCGCCAATTCAGGTCAACCACTGAGCAGAGTAACAAGATTCTGGTATCGGACATGCGCTGCGCAACATTCAATATCAATTGCTTCCATTCTTTCACAAACTTGAATCTAATTCACAGAAACTTGCGTAATCAGATAATCGGAAAACGGTTTCAACACTGTTTCACTTTGTACTTAAGATACCAGTACTGACTATTTGTTGATTTGCTTATGTTACAGTAGAGTCTGCTTGTGGTAAAGGTCTCCCACTTTTGTTAATTGATAGAACCAGCAAATGCCCCGTCAGAATCGTATTAAAAATTGAAAATTAATTAAAACGATTGTCATACATTTAAAAGGAAAGAGCGATTTGGCTGGATCCCTTGTAATATTTGTTCAGAGCAGAATGGCAACGTCCTAATCCGTTAGTTAAAATAGTTTCCCACTTTGAACTTTTGTCCTTTGGATGTAGCACAAAACTCAAATGTTTGCTTGCAAATTGTGCTCGACGTCTGGATTTTAACCCCTTATTTTCCCAGAATGCAACCTGCCACTTACTGGAAAAATCAACGTACTATCGTTTACATTCGAAGAGCATGGTTACAGACATGAAAAGTGAACGCAAGCGATGAAGGTGAAAGGGTTACAGAATTATATAAAATGTAAGAGAAACGGCTCATTCGACGTCATGTCACCAACAGTTCCAGTCGAATAGTATGAATCCCAACGTAATAATTGTTGGTATAGAAACACGCGTTTAAACACCAACAACTGTCCAGGCTACCCAGTCGGCACTACGGGAGGTGGTTCAGCTCGCCCTGCACTTATTGGAGACATCAGCGTACAGGAAAATGGCCCCGTCTACACCAGCTAAGCAATTCTATTCACATCCATTCTAACATAATGATAGGCTTTCTTGCATTTATTTGGGAAGAATAGCGTTCAAATCATGTATAAGTTAGTCTGAAAAGCCTTGTGGCCCATGATCTGGCTGCGCATGCCTCGTCCATGTTGTAGTGAGTTTGTCCATCCATTCGGACAGTTGGTACTGGGAAATTATATTTCAAGATATATTATGATATTTGACTACCGCATAACTCCTTCATTACAAGAATGTCGTTGCGTAGACAAAATTAAGAATGCTGTGCACCGCTGTTTCAGGTTAACGGGCAAGATCTTCGCAATGCGACCCACGAACAAGCCATACAAGCATTTCGACATGCTCAAGAACCTATTATGGTCGAAGTATCTCGACGCGATGCAGATCATTCTTCGAGGTCCTCCCAACCAAAGTCCCCAGATGTCCGCAGATGTGATGCCGTGAATGAAAGAATGGATGCGATTATACAAACCGAGGCCAGTCCAGAAGAAGCCACCTTAGCTGCTATGGCTGCCGCAGCGTGTACTGCCGAAAAAATTCGCGCAGCCTTGAGTTTGCATTCAAATAGCAATTCCAGGTGAGTGAGCATTGTGGATAGAGTGGAACATTGCTGAAGAAACCTGCCGTTACACTACCTCTACACCTACACAGATTACGTTTCTGAACACAGTTGTTCAATCGAACCCCTAGGGCTGAGTTCTAGTGAATCATTTCGAGCAAAAGTGTACTTGCTGCATTCGAAACCTCTGGGTTCCTAATCACCCAAGGTTGTCAGAATGAATTCACTATGGTTAGAAAACAACTGGTCAAATGCATATTTTTTCCAATTTCTTCAAACCAGAATATTTTTGAAACTTAAATCTGCGCCTATCTCCTGATGACGATCAGCATAATAGATCCGCAAAACCCATGAGAAATTAATTAAGTATAGAAGTTATACCACCTTTGGTCTATAAAACAAATGAACAAAGTACGTTTACATAAAATAGTCAGGCGAAAGCCTATGGTTGGTGTAAAGGCACTCAAACGGGCCTGACATAAAACACATGTGGAATTAGAAATGTTCAAATCTGAAGGCAAACTGCAAAAATATGAATAAAAGTTTATGACCAAATATAACTATTCGTAGATCATGTAGAGTGGACTAAACATCATTTGCGTTGTTTTGGAGAGCCTACGTCTTTAATTCCCGAATGCATTTATTCTTACCATCGAGAGGCTAAGAATCAGTCTTGTTTCCCAGTATTTCATCATGAATTTAAACGACTTTAAACAGCCCGCAACATATTGTGAGCAATTACTTTAGCCTGAAACAAACTGTCTCCAATCTTTTATTTATTGCCTAAAATAATTAGGTTTTGACTCACATTCTGCCAAGCTGATGCTGCTTTGACCGATTTCCATTCAGTAAGGGTCCTGGCACAAATATACCTATATGTATATACATATATATATATATATATATTGAACGGACGTCTAACACCATGTAATTCAAAAGACAGCTTTACCCACACTAACCATCCTGATGAGAGGCTACTCCTCAACAGACACAAACGGGAAATTATGTGTAAGGGTCCTGGCACAAATATACCTATATGTATATACATATATATATATATATATATATTAGAAGGATTTCCCACGCAGCCGTTTGTTTGAGAATGGCCTAAGTATTCTGTCACTACTACAGGTGCAGAGTAAATTGCCCACAATAAAGTATTCTAGAAGAACTGAAAGTTTTATCCTCCGAATTTTAACACATTGGTTGATGCACATACCCCACATCTGGCTTTTTCAAAATTTACAGCATTTGGCTGTGTTGTGTATAGCTGCACAGATGTTTCTCCTCGCTTGAAATGTAGTCTGCAGGGTAAACAAAATAATGCGAACAAACGGGTAGTTTGCCTACTTCGAGGTGAAACGAGTTTCCCTACTCGTTTTCTGCCACCACGTAGGTGAACCGGTGGCAGCACTTTTCGGGAACATTTGTTCATTATTCACGTAGTGCATCCAATGTCTGCAAATGAACGTTCCCACAATAACTTTTGCTTTATTTTGACTAAATACGTTTACGGTCATACAAAATATCAAGGGTAAACAGGGGAAAGATGAAAATACTAACCGCAATTTAAAGTATAGGCAAGACCCATGGTAAAGTATTCTGAATATTCCCTTTTCCACATAGGAATCTGGAAACAGAATGAGGACAATGCAGGTGGTCTTGTAGGGCTGCACTTGCCATGTGAAACGACATTGCAGTGTGCAAATTCATCTCGTACACTTTTCTTGATGGAAGTCACGGATGGGTTACAAAGGCTGAGGAAACTATAGCAGTTATGCCTATCTAGGCATACAGTATTGAAATTATCAGGTGTATTCTATATTATATAAAAAATCAGGTTTTATTTTAGAGCCCTATCAACCAACTCCTTCTGATTATGTTTAGTTTGATGTCTTATTGAAAAAAAACATTGCCGGGGCAACTGACAAAAACTTGTCCACTCTTGCTTAAGTAAATTTTTGGTCCAAGTAGATTACTCTCATCTAACTGATGACAAACTGTATTTGTCATCTGTGTCTACAAACGTCTTTACATACAGAAGCTGAAATCAGGACGACTTTAATCAACATGAACTGATATATGTCATCCAATGAAGGTATGCTTTATTGCTGTGGATCAGGTGTACTGACTTTGTTATTCGTACTCATACTCTGGCTTGAAAGCTTCACCTATATATACTGAACTTACTAGATTATGTCTCATCATCTGCCTAGGATCACCTCTTAAGTCCACGTTTCTAGACATTCTGACAAATCAGTGAGACACAGGTACAAATCGTCAAATTTGTGGTAACTACTCAAGGTTCAAAGCATAAAAAGCACTTCGTACGATTACAATATGATTATGGTGATGAATTCGGCATCACTTTAGCTAAATTATGAATATGCCGAGCTAGATGTCAGCAAATAACACTGAAAGCTTTGTGATGACATTGTATTACATTACCAGTGTGCGCGACGAAGACTGACTAGATAAGGTTGATTACTAGGCGTGTTTACCTACAACGACTATTTAACCATTAGAATCAACAAACTTTCCAATACCCAAAATACATATTTGAATATTATTACTCCTCGCCTCTTGTATTAAACACATTGTATAACAAACGGTTTATGGCAAACTTATTTCTCATGTGCTGCTGTATTGCCACGGCAAACCTCTGCGTAAACGCGTCCAGACGACATTTCCTAGCTAGCTTTTGTCCGATGACATTTGCATTTCTGACATTTGCTGTGTATAGACCTGATTAGGCAGGTGAGTCGTTATCATTGGGGATGAAAATTAGCATGGTGCCAAAACTCTTGGATCACAGTTGCGTTCCTAGACACCCAGAAAACTGGATGGTCCTTAATGATTCGCACAATAATCGATTTGCGTTCATCACTAATCATTGCGACATCGTGGTGTGTAGCATGCATCAAAATTTCTCGTTTTTTTCAATATTCCTGCATTTCAGTGCAACCGATGTTGGTGAAATAGCTGCTGTTTTGAGAAACACCAGTTTGCTTTGTCACATTTAGGATAATAAAGCACACGTTGTTCTATCAGGTTTGAACTGACTCTTGGTAACCCTAAAGCCCTACCTTGGTTTTGATTAGGCGAAATGCCACATGAACACAATACCTGGTTCGTGGTTCTCGGAAATCTCACTTGTTGTCTACTTGTGACTTTCAGATGGAATCGTTGGAGATTTTTCTTTAGATTCTGGAATAGTCATTATTGCCTTTCGCCTTTCACTCATAAGCAGACCACACTTTTTTTGTTGAGTTCATAATAAACAGGTGTGCGTTTTTGCCGTTTATCGTTGCGTGAAATCTCTTTAGACTGTTCGGGAAGTTGTAAGAGTTAAAACTGTCTCACTAAACCTTCAGAAGTTTATCGAACAACTTTTTGACGGGTTATGAAGACAGCCAAAATCATGGTTTTATCGAGTTGCTTTTACTGGTATCCGTCTTTTTAACGATCATACCTGCTTGTCATACAGAGATATCGTTTTAGTTAGCTGGTATTGGTCCGCATATGTCTAAGATTTTGAGCCATCACGTTTGGAGATAAATCAGTAAAAATGTCTTATCAGATCACTCCGAAAAATGTTTTCGAGCAAGAAATGATTTTACTGATAGGGACTGATGACGACGATTTGTGGGTGCCGATCAATTTCGTCTCTACAAAGCTTGTTGTTGAACAGTATGGTTTTGACGATGCCAGAGGATGGGAGTTTTAAACAGGCAACCAAACAATCAAGGAGAAGTCACCTAGGCTGAACGTTACCTAAATATCCATACTTAAATTTTGTGAAGCTTCCTGAGCAAAGAAAATGCTTCCAGCATCAATGCATTGCAAGTTAATGTCACGTAGGATAGACATGAAATATAGATATTCTGTTTACCTTTCGGATACGCAATACGGTTTTTGAGATTCTTTGTCTACATACCAACCCATCGCATTGCCCTTTCTGAAGGCTAAACCACCTAACGGTGGTAACTTCTGTGAAGCAATCGGAATCATGGGATACTAAAGCAGTGCCCCCGTAATTAACTCAGTTATTAAGTTGGTAGCATTTAGTCCGCACACAGATGCGGCCAACACCAATCAGTTGTTCCAGTTCTGTGCCATTTCTGTTGCGAGGGAGCCACCTGAATCATTCGCTTATTGCTCATCAATTTCATATACTGTGAGTATGTCTGCTCAAGTGAGAGCGGAATACTATATTCCGGATTTCTTATCGGAACCAACCAACTGGCATCTATTTTTGCGATCGAAATCAAAAGGTCGATACGTTTTGGCGAAGTACGCTCATTTGCGTACCTGTATGGTATTGAAGGGGGACCCACCTGGAACCCAACTAAATCTCTCATTTATTATGTTTTCAGAAACCTCATGAGTAGTGTATAACGCCTAAACACGGTTTGGTTACATAATCCTCTGAGGTGCTGTTGGACTGTTAAAACTCAGAGTAAAATTACTTCCTGTCGAGAAAGATTTATGAATACTGGGCTCATGATGGCATATTCGGCCGATTACCCAAACAAATGTATTTACTGGATGGGGTCGCCTTACTGAAGCTGCTGTGTAAGTAGACATTAATCAAACGAAGTGCTAACTGAAATCATGTACACCTAAAATAGCGGGTCTGTTACTTGTGGGATCTTAATATCTACGTACTCAAACCTTGAACCGCTTAGACCGAACTTCCGGTGGTTCTGTCCAGGATAATAATAAGCAGCATCTCATCGATACTTTTGTGCTTTATATTGCTCCGGAACGGTAATCTTCAGTAATCCATAACCTAGTTTTGTATATGTTAAATCTGGAAATCTTCAATGGAAAAAGTTTGGCGGGCAGTCGGTGAGCTTAATGAGCCTTTCTGAAACGACGATATCTCAGTCGTCTACAAACCCTTCTCAACTTTTCTTAACTTTTCTTAACTTATTTCAAAATTTTACGAATGCATTTTAACTTCTTCTATTGGTCAAATATGAGGATGTACTTTGCAGAAGCGTTGGTCACACTCC